AAAAAAACTCCAAAAAAATTTTTTAAGAGATAAAGCCTCCTAAAATGCAGTTATACACTGCGTGACATTTTCTATCTTGTCTCTTTTGTCCAGTCTCATGTTTTTGGCATCTTTCTATGTTGTAACGTGTGACTCAGGAGTTCTTTGTTTATTTTGTTTTAATTTTTCCTTGTTTATGTCTGTATTTTTTTCAAACAGGATCTTTCTATGTAAGGCAGACTAGCCTCCCACTCAGGATCCTCCTGCCTCAGCCTCCTGAGTGCTAAGCTCCTGGCCGTGGGTCGCCACACCAGAGAGGAACCTGTGTATCTGTTTAAGGCTGAATACTATTTGGGCCCCATAGGGTGCTTCTGTTGTTTCCCGCCGTGCAGGGTTTGAACCCTGAACCTCACATGCTAGCCACAGGCTCCTCACAGTCACTCTGCCCAGGGCCGCCCCGGGCTCCACCAGGCTTTGATGTGGGCAGGGAGGGTGTGGCCAGAATACCAGCCCCACCCCCTGCTCACCCCCAGGCCCAGACACCTCCCCAGGGAAAATGTGACCCAATCCACCCACAGGCGCCCTCAATTCCAGCCCGGGTTAACTGGGGGCCAAGGTACCGCCAGGGCTGTGAACACTGCTGAAATCGGAGGAAGCAGAGGCAGGGCCCCCCTTGTCCCCCCGTGCCCCTCTAGGAGGCCCCTTGAGTCCTTGGCCTCCCAGATGCCAGGCTTGGAACCCTGGAGTCAGAACCACTCCTCCCCGTCTCACCCTTCACAGGGTCATTTTTATTTCATTTTATTTTTGAGGTACAGTGCTGGGATTATCCCCGGTGCTTTGCACTAAGCTACATCCCCAGCCCCAACCCTATTTATTTAATTTAGGTTTTTTGAGACAGGGGCTTGATATGTAGTTCAGGCTGTCATCAAAGTCACTGTGTAACACAGGCTGGCCTTGAACTCAAGGTGAGCCTCCTGCCTCAGCCTCCAGAGGGCTGAGATGACAGGTGCTCACCACCACACCCAGCATTATTATGTTACCCTGAGACAGGGTCTCCTAAGTGTTAACTGAGCAGGATGAGTTGAACTTGTGATCCTCCTGCCTCATCCTCCCAGAATACTACAGCGCCATCCCTGGCTCTTGACAATCCTCTGGAGTGCGTCCACCTCCACACTGTGTGACCATGACGGCTTGTTCAACCTCTCTGAGCTGTTTCTTTCTCTGCCTCTTCACTTTGATCTGGGTTGGGATGTGACCGTGGGTGTAACCAGTCAGCACAGCGCTGGGCCCCGAGCTAACCGCGAGGTCAGTGGCAGAAGCTAATTTCATAACAGCTCTGCGGTGATATAATTTCCAGACCATAAAACTCACACATTGAGGGGTTGGGCTAGAAATAACTGGGTGCACAGCGCTTACCCAGCCT